ATCTATCTAGCGATCTAGCGATCTAGCGATCTAGCGATCTAGCGATCTAAGTGCAGGCCTTGTAGATGACCGTCTTACCTTACTCGATGTTTGTTGACATGGCGCGCCGACTGATAGCCGGGTTTCAGAGCATAGCCTAGTATAGTGCAGAAGTACGTAGTGCATAATTCAACTGCGTACTCTTGTCGTACTACGTTGTGACGACTGCTATCTGCCGCGACGGTTCCGCACAACACCTCTACACAGTCGCAAGACAAGAAATTGTATCCCGTGGATGGAGCCGATCCTCGGCTTCATCCACGGGCTTCAAGGCGCCGAGAGCCGCGGTTTACCCATATGCGTGGATCGGTTTCGAACGGCAAGCACAACAGTGGCGATGGAATGGGCGCGAACCCAACCATCCTTTGTGCATTACGACATTAACATTTCGAGCTACGAAGTTTGAGCGCTGTCGTCCTTTCGGGCGTACGCTGAGTCGACTCGATCGACGCCATCTCGACGGTGTTGGTTGACCACCCGACGTCCACCACGCAGTTGTTGCTGGTGTCGAGCACAAGGTCAATGCGTCTTTGGAGATCAAGCAGCTCGTTTCTTGAGAGCTCATTGTTTGGCACACGGGCATCCGCAATGACGAGTCGATCGCCACAAGACACCAGCGACGAGATACGGTCGATGCGACGACCGTGGTCGCGGTCGATCCACGAAAGCTGCGCCATCTCGGTCACGTCTGATGCTGTCATCTGCAGCGGCTTGGCGAGAAGCATTGCGTCGGGTGGGATCCCAAAGACTCTTTGAATCTCGAGCAAAAGCAGGTCCATCCAATGCGCGCCAGGCGACAGCGGCGGAAACACAAGCTCCATCTCGCGGCCAAATGTAAGATGCGCTCGGTCAAAGAGAATGATCGAGAGAGGCGTGTGGGCGGCGCCAAGCCTCTCGGGCGACTCTAGCATCTGGACGGCAAACGACCGGTTCTCGTACAGTGACATCGGTGAGGCGTCACCAAGCGTGCCATCGTCGGACAAGACGCGCTGGATGCGGCGCGAAGAAACGTCGCGGAGCCGAAGGTGCTTGGCGCAATGGTGTGTGCGCTGAAGAACGGCGAGGATGCTGGCCTTCACCTCGCTCACAAGTGTTGTAGCGGAGACGACAAGTGTAGCGCAGAATGCAAGCTCGTCGACGTGGTGCAATGGTAGCAGCACGGTCGTCGTCTCAATATGTCTGGACGTGTGGAGATGGACGTTGACTCTAAACTCACCAGCACGCAGCGGAGCCCCGAGCTCGATCCACACCGTCGATTGGTTCAAGAGGGCCAAGTATTTGAACGACACAGCAAGGTGCTTCAGCTCGCCCCCCGTCTCTTTTGAGCGACGCAGCTTGAAGGTCTCGGGTCGCAGCTCGAAAAACGTGCACAGTTGATCCTTGAGCACCCGAAGCGGTTGTCGGCGGTCGACGGTGAACAACCAGCCCATCGCGTCACCTTCGACGGTTTTGGCGCGCAGGAGCGTTGGCTCCTTCGTCTTGACTTGAAGGGTGATCGAATGGGCGCGGGCCTCAAAAAGCGTTTTGGCCAGCGACGGCGATGACGCCAGATCGTCGACGGCTTCGACGTAGATGCTGTGGCCATCACGAAGCATCAAATTGCCGCAAAGTGTCTGCTGCAGCGTCGTCGCGTCGTTGGTCGGGTTGAGAACTGTCGTCGAAATGGACCAGTAGCCCGACGTGCGCATCTCGAGCAGCCGCATTTGGTTGCGATCCATTCTGAGCTTGGCGCTGAGCAGCGAGAGCAAGTCGTCGAGTCGCGCGTTACCCGGGAGCTGCACAAGCTCGGGCGGCTCTGTAAAATGCTCGGGCATCGCATCCGTTGACGGGACATATCGACGCACGAGCAGTGTCAACGCCGTAGGGTCATATGCCGTCCACGCTTGGTCAGTGGTCGGTCGGACCTCGAGATACAAGCTGCATACCGAGTCGATCGACAGCTCGACCAGCGAGCAGTGTTCGCGTCCGTCGTACGTCTCACGCGGCAATGCCATGGAATCGGAGTAGGCCCGTAGTCGGGCACAGTCCATTGAGACACACAGCTCAAAACGCGCGACGGCCTCAGCCGTCACGTCGGCGAGCGTAGCGTACTTGGAGACGTGTAGCATGTTGTGACTGATGTCGCAGAAGATTTTGAGCTGGATCGTGTTTGCGAGGTCGGCCTTTCGCTTCGCATCTACGATGCGGCGGGCGTCCCGCGCCATCTCTTCGCGTTGCAACTCGGCGTGTACAAGGTCGACGAGCCAAGAGGGGACCTTGGAAGGACACTGGATCTTGCGAGAGGCGTCGACCTGGCGGTACTGCAGCAGGTAGGCACACGGTGCGCGCGTTGCCTCGTAGTAGCCGGGGTTAGGGG